CCCCAAAACCCCAAAACCCCAAAACCCCAAAACCCCAGAGTTCAACTTTAACATGAATATGATTGAAAGGAGATCATAGGAATATAGTGATGAATTAAGGGGTTTTATCTTATTTAAATTAGTATCTTTTCAATCAATTAATTAATTAGATTTTAGTAGCTACGTCTATTCTTTTGAAATGACACCTGCTGTAGATTCAAAGCAAACCTAACAATTGTACAACTCCTGGAGAGACCTCCCTTGGGACAAGGACTTTGCCATCTATATTTTGTAAGTTCTCCTTGCTAGTCTTGCTTTCTGGGCATTCATGTACTTCTACGGATGCTACCATCACCCAATTCCGAAGTACTACAAGTCTAAGATGAGTGTTTAAGATCAATTCATTTGGAGATTCAGAGTGATCAACTGTTACCACGGAGCAGCTGCTACTCTGCTATCCCTCTATTGGCACTTGATTAACTACACAACAGAATGCTCAAGACAAATTACAACTTTTGAATTGATAATGTTAGCAAATACTTGCTGCCATTTATTAATGGATGGCTTATTTATGTATGTTAATGGTTTCCTTGACACTGGTAACCTAATCCATCATTTCTTCGGCATATCTGGGTATTTTGCTTGTGCCTATCACTAGCATAACTTTACTTAAATGGCAATGCACTTGCTGCCTGCTGAATTTTCAAATGTATCAATGCATATGAGAGAAATTCTCAAGAGAATGGGAATGCGATATACCAAGACTTATTACCTCAACGACTATGCCTACTATATTGAATACATTATCTGCAGAGCCCTCTGGATTCCTGCTGTCTTCTATTTCTTTGCAACATGTGCAACAACTAGTCCAGCTCACATGATCATCTACCCACTACATGTTTTAATGAGCTGGTATTATGTTTCAAACATCCCACCTCTCATGATCTCAAGATACAAAGAAATGAAGAAGATTGAAAAAGCAGGAATGAAGCTCGAATGGATCAAACCATTAGACTCTGAAGAACTTAAGAAATAGGGCATAGTTTCAACTGAAAGGTTTCACACATGAATTTTTTTCAATCAAATGATCCATAAAGCTATGCAAATCAAAATGGCATAGTTTTAAGGATGAATTCTTTATTGGGGTCAAAGCTCCATAAGTTCTACTTATCGTGAATGGATACAAAAACTTACTTAAAATTTTAATTCAAATCTTCTTTCATTCAGTACATTACACAAATGTTACAAATATTGTTTAGCATGGGGTTTTGGGGTTTTGGGGTTTTGGGG